CCTCCATCATAGAAATAGCCCATTTTTGGCACGCTGTTGAGTTGTTTGCGGTCAACTCAATTTCAGAGGCTTGTCCCCAAAGGTTGCTTGTTTCCCCGGTATAAGTTAATTGATCAGTGCACCCTGTTTTCCTGAGAAATCTAAAGCTATCATCAGAGTTATGTAAAGCATCACTTGGAGAGTGATACATTTTGACATGAGTATCCAAAGAATGTTTGTTGGCGAAACTCATATCACAAAATCTACAATGAAATGCCATGAGCCCAATAGCATTTTGATTACTAGATAATTTCATTCCACATATACTGCATCTGAATGAGGCATTTCCAGTTGGTGTCTCACCGAGAACATTCTTGAAATATCTCCGGTTTGTGAACTGAAGACCACAATGACTGCAGTGGTATGGTTTTTCACTTCTATGTGATTCCATGTGATCAGTTAATTCAGACTTCAGATCAAAGGTCTGGCCACAAGGTTCACAGTGATATCCAAGTTGTGTACATTGCTGATTCAAATCTAATTCTACAATCTGCAATGCCTCTTTGGTATACTCAATATTTGTGACAGAGAAGGATGAGCAATAGTCTGTTCGTATTTCCGAAGGTTCTTCAGGAACTGTTACTTCCGGTACTGGCTGGTCCAAGTCAATCTGCTTAACCTCATGCGTTGAACTGGTGTTATCACAGTAAATATTATCCACACGTTTCTCTGGTGAAATCTCTACATTTAAGATTCCCTCATCAGTGTATGTTGGTATGACGACACAATCCTCTTCCTCTTGGGGAATTATATTGGTTGAGGATTTGCTGGTACATTTCTGTGTGTGAATATCTAAATCTGTTTCGTTTGAGAAATTCCCTGAACACCAATTACACGTGTATGAATTTCCATCTGAAAAATGTACACTTTTTATATGAGAATCCAGATTAAATTTCTGCATGAAACTAATTTCACAAAAGCTACAATGGAATTGTTTTTGTCTAGTATGTATTCTAAAATGACAGTCCAACTTCTGTTTGTTTACAAACTTCTTTGCACATAGACTACACGAGTATGCTTCAGTTCCTGAGTGTAAATTCATATGAGATCTCAAACCACTTTGCCATGAAAAAGTTTTCCCGCAAACTTTACAATGAAGTTTTTTTCCAACATGTAATCTCATATGATTAATTAAAATGTCTCGTGTAGTAAAATTCTTTTGACAATATTTACACTGGTGAGGTTTCTTAAGTGCCTCGCCAGTATGTGTCCTCATGTGTCCAACAAGTCTTTGATTACTCGAAAGTGTCTTTCCACATATACTGCACTTGAATGGCTCGTTTCCAGTATGAGTTTTCATGTGAATACTCTGAAAATACCTCCTGTTTGTGAAGCGTTGACCACAAATGCCACATTGGTATGGTTTATCACGTTCATGTGCCTGTAGATGATCTTTCATTTCAGACTTTCCTTTAAAACTCTTGTTACAAACAAGACATTGATATATCTCGTTCGTACTTCGGTGATTCAAATTAATCTCCCCGTTCTGTATTGTTTGGTTGCTGAACTGAGAATTTGGAAAGAAGACGGCTACTGACTGATGGTTACTTGGAAGTGTAGGTGGCTTTTCAGGACAAGCAATATTTGGAGGCCCCATGTTCACTTCAGGATTGAAACTGGCGTTATTATAGTAATTATCCCATTCATCATCTCTGGGCAGATTCATACAGGGTATCTCGGATGAAATTTCCTTGTTTATGTGTGACGCTCCAACCTCAATAGATTCTGCCCCACTTGATTCTTGTTTTTTGTCTATTATGCATATTTGAGTTAATGTATCATTCATGAAACTCGTGGCTGGTGCAACCTCAATAGACTCTGCCCCACTTGTTTGTTGGTTTGGGTCTTCTACCATTGACATTTTAGTAAATGTATCATTCGTGAAACTCCTGGATGGTGCAATCTCAATGGACTGAACCATACTTTCTCCTTGCAGTTGATTTGCATAATCTGTCGCATACCTATTGCTACATTTATGCGTATGAACATTTAAATCATTTAAATTTGTGAAACTTTCTGAGCACCATTTGCATGGATATAATTCTCGTTGTACTGAATGACAACTTCTCATATGAGTGTCTAAATTATCTTTCTGCAAAAAACCTAAACCACAAATGTTACAACTAAATGGTTTCTCACCCGCATGTACTCTTAAAAAATGACTATCCAGCTTCTGTTTGTTTTCAAATCGTTCTGCGCACAAACTACATGAATATGCTTCATTTCCTGTATGTATTTTTACATGAGATCTCAAACCACTCCGCCATGAAAATTTTTTCCCACAAATAGGGCATTTATACTTTTCTCCCAAATGTAATCGCATATGATTTTTCAAATGGTCTCGTTTAGCAAAAGTTCGTTGACAATGGCTACACTGGTATGGTTTCATAATCTGGTATGATGTCTTCCTAGTATGTGTTCTCATATGCCCAACAAGTCTTTGATTACTCGAAAGTGTCTTTCCACAAACATTACATCGAAACGGATTGGTTCCAGTATGTGTTTTCATATGAATACTCTCGAAATATCTCCTGTTTGTGAAGCGTAGACCACAATATTTACATTCATAAGGTTTTTCACGTTTATGTATTTGTAGATGTTCAATTAACTCTGACTTTTGTTTAAAATTTTTGCCACAGGGATCACATTGATATACCATTCCAAGAGACTGCGTATTCAAATCCAGCTCCACATTTGGTAATGGTTGGTGAATGAACTGAGTATCTGTAACTGATACGGCAGAATGTTGGTTATTTTGAATGGTGACAGCTCCATTGGAAGAGTTAACTGTTGTGCATTCTATGTCAAGATTATTGACTGCATGAGTTACACTGGAGTCATTTTTCACATTAGTCTCTCCAACGATATTTTCACGGGTGATGCTACTAACGACTGAGACGTCATTATCTGAAGTTCCGTTGTTAATACAGGATGGTCCCAGCTCACTGATTAACACCACCTCATCATCCTCAAATGAATTACTAGATTCTGCTGAGTATTTCCTGGTACATGTACGTGTATGAACATCCAAGTCTATTTCATTTGAGAAATTCTTAGAACACCATTTGCACACATACGAGTTCCCATTTGAAGGATGAACACTTCTCACATGCGATTCTAGATCGCATTTCAGGGAGAAACCTTGTTCACAAAAGCTGCAACGAAATGATTGTTTAGCAGCAGCATGTATTCTAAGGTGGCAGTCTAGCTGCTGTTGGTTAACAAATTTCTTTGTACACAGATTACAGGAATAACCTTCATTTTCCTTGTGTGTTTTCATATGAGATCTCAAACCACTCTGCCATGAATAGCTTTTCCCACAAACTGTACAAATATGTTTAGCACCAACATGCAATCTCATATGGTTTGTTAAAACGTCTCGTTTAGTAAAACTCTTTTGACAATATTTACACTGGTGAGGTTTCTCAAGTGTTTCACCAGTATGTGTTCTCATGTGTCCAACAAGTCTTTGATTACTTGACAGTGTCTTTCCACATATACTGCACTTGAATGGTTCTTCTCCGGTATGAGTTTTCATATGAATACTCACAAGATATCTCCTATTTGAAAACCGTTGACCACAAAGATTACACTGATATGGCTTATCATGTCCAATATACACACTGACTGTGCCACCATCTGTTGTGTAGACGCCATCCATTCTCACTTGACTATCCTCCATTGATTTATTTCTATCAAGCATTTAAATGCAAATAACCTGCAGATAAAACAAACATGATTTTAGCCATTTTATCTTTATGATTACGATAAAACTCCATCGTCATTGCACGTCTCATGTTTATTTGCAGTTTATCCCTCTTGTGTTCATACATGCCTGCGAGAATGATATGTAAATACATGTAATCCCACCATTACTTGATTATATTTACCGGTACAATGATTAAGTGTATACTACTGTAAAATCTATGTTAAAGGCCATGGCTTCGATTAAAATGGTACAATGCAACAGAGGTGATGCGGTTTCTTTTAGAGCATCTACACATATGAGAAACAATGAATTTTTGGTTCTCAATTGTTCAAAAGAATGGATGCGACTTCTAATACAGATTTAATGGTACTATATGTATGTACTCCTCTTACAACATTTTTCTGTTCACTGCGAAATATGCATGAAAGCAAATGTCATAGTCAGAGTAGCATGGGATTAAACAAATGCAAAAGTAGTTTTGGGATATTTTCATGGTTAATATTTGGCATACACATTATGATGGTCAATTTTTAGGAAGTAAGGATGCCAATGCCATAATCCTCACTGAAAGATCCATGTTTCAACATTGAGCTATAAAAAACAAATCATTGTCAATAGACCATTTTCCATTCACTGCGAGAATCACGCGTTATGCGTGAAATCAAACGTAAAAACAGGACAAACAAAGGTCATAGCGTCGTAGTGGCGTCAAACATCGCGTGGGATTCGACAAACACAAAAGTATTTCGGGGGATATTTCCATGCTTAATAATAATGTGCTGTACACATTTGATGATGGACAATTTTGATTAAGTGAGGGTATTCGAAAGCAATATTCCTCTGTCGAAGATCGGCCGGTCGATATGAGTTACGAAATAAAGAAATTAGAGTTCAAAATCAAATCGTTCGACTTTTGCGGCAGATGTTCGACGCGCGTCTTTCATGCATCTCGCGAGATCTTGCAATTGTACGGAAAATCACCTATTTCAGTTTTTTAGTGACAAGGCATGCCTGAGAACAATGTGGAACTAAAGTGTGAGACAAAAATTTGGTCAAATGTCATCAAATTACTTTCATCGACAAAATCAGTCAAATAAAATATCCAATAGAAATTTGTCTTGTAACAGTATTACATTGAAGCTATATAATAATTGAAGTATGAAAGTGTGAATTGATATATTAGCACATGCCAACAGCCCTCGACCAATTGTTGCAATAAAGTGTGGTTCTATTTCACCACAAATTCACTTAGATCACGGCTGAAAAAAGAAGAAGAATGAAAACAAAGGGTTTTCATTGCAACAATTTATTTACAACACCAAGATCAGATACAAAGTATCCATTGAGTTACAGAAGACTGCGCTCGATTCAACACTACTATTGGCAGCACGTAGGCCATCATTTTGACAAAATGAACATAATGTACTAAAATGTTATTTCACAAGTTTGATTGCTGTCAAAATGTCATCTTTTGATTGGCTAATGCGATTTTTTTCTCGGGCTGATTGGCCAGTGCTAAGTCGGTAAGATCACGCACCTTGGTGACTATGAGAACTATTTCGAATTCTCATAGTTACCTCGGACCGTGATCTAACCTTTACATGTATGCAAGACAGATATGTCAGAATTATAGCATTGTACAAAACAAAATGGTGGCCATACAGGGGATTATGAATTCAATCAGAAAACAAAATTACATGCCTCAAGGTTCATATGTTCATTGTATAGACCAAGTTTCAATTTAATTAGTTAATGAGTAACTGAAATCAATTTCCAGTATATATTACCTGTGAAGTTTAAACCTGATTAGTCTAGGCATGTATGACACGACTGAGATCTGGTTCCGAAATGGTGAAAATGTTTGATTTTGTTGAATTTCAGGCCTTAAAATGGCTGCCATTTGGCCATCTTGAATTAGATGACGAAGAAACAAATGCACATGTCTGAAGTAATGTTTGATGAATGTATGAGAGAGATACTGCCGGATACAGTTGGACACATGTACAGATGCTCAAGCAAAACTTCATGCGTCAGTGGTGGGTCACACGGCTTAGAGGGCGCACTGACAGTCCTGTCTATGAAACTGAGTATCAAGTTTGACACTTTACAATCCAAGATACATGGAATTCTGAAAACAAAATTACTGCCATTAAATATAACTGTAATGTTGTTTGTCACCAATTAATAATCTGCACAGCTTTCCAACCGGTAAGAGAAATGTACATTCTCAGAGTATTACACTTCAGATTCATACTCAGCTAAATTTATAGACTAATGGGTTCTACCTGTCTTATTTTATGTCTGTGTTTTAAGCATTTAGACAACGTTTCTGCACTATCCTCTGAATAAGTGTTCATATTTATTAATGTATTTTTCACCAAATGCTTTAATGTTTATTTACATGTATATATTTATTTTTTCCTTATATCGTATTAGTAGCTTTTGGGCCAGTGACCTATAGTAAGGAATACATATTTATTATTATTATTATATTGCCATGGTAACGCTACAATCATCCTCCCATATTAGCAAATGCAAATTCCAAATAGGGAATGATTATGCGTGTAAGCCTCCTCTAATTATAAAAACAAACATGGCTGCCTCCAGGGTTTGACCGGACTCCACGTAAAAAAGTTCGCTGATTCTGTTCTAAACTTTTTGGATTTCGGCATTCACATGATGTATCCTTGGTAGGAAAAGATAATATATATAATAGTATAATAACATGGTTATTACGAGACAGTTGCGCATCGGTTGATATTCCCGCCGTACTGTCTTTGTGCATACTTTATGGTATCCTCGTAATAACCTCATATTATTATTAAATACATTGGACTATGATTTATCAGAACAAGAAATCGCTGTTATTGTAACACACAGATGAGTACATGTTCAATGCAAATATGGAATTCTCTAATATGCTAATGTGTACTGGTTGTATTGGTACATACAACAATAACTGCTCATGGGTATTACTGTTTTTGAATTTTCATCTAACAAGTCTGATTTGGTCTACAGTATGGAATATCTAATAACAATATTACCAAATATATCTTTTCATCATATTGCAATACCTTTTGCTATTCTGGTTTTTGTTAACCAATGCTTCATGTAGGAGTATGTTACTGTAAAATACTTTATTTTAGCTGGAATTAATTTTCGCTGAAAAGGCTTTTTGGATGTTTTGTATGGAAATTATTTTCACTGATTTTTGATGAGTTGAATATGAAATATAGGAAAAGAAGTATATTCGCTGGATTTTATTTTCACGGAATCATCCGTTCAGCGAAAATAGCGAAAATAAATTCCAAGCGAAAAATAAAGTATTCTACAGTATTGAAGTTGGCTATTTCGTTCGTAATTTGATTGCTTGTTTTTTGAATGAACCAATGAATTGCACATCTACCCAATTCAACGTAAAAAGCAATTTCTCAAGAAAACAGCATAACATGAGTGTTGTGTTCTGTCAGTTTGGTTCAAAATTCACTCACATACTATGACGGTTTGGGAAAGAGTTCCTTAACTGTAATCCTAACCCTGTACATCAAGTGCCCCTCCCCCATTTTGATTGTATATGCCCCTGTTCTGGACACGTAAAGTTATTTGGAGGGGCATATTGAATTGCCCTGATTTGATTGGTACCTTATTTATTTTATGTTTTTCGCTGTTTCACTTTACGAGGAACGACCTACTACAGTGATGTCTTGTGATCACATAAAATTGGTGGACCTGAAGAAAATGGCTGCTACTAGTCATATAAGTCTAATGACCTCAATCTCAGAAAAAACAACATCAAGCTGATCATTTTTGTTTTGATTTTCGCTTATGTGAGTGTTTAATAAAAATATTATCAATTGATGATATTTTCAATGATGTGATATAAGACATTTATTTGCGATACCATTTGGTATCGCACGCTTGTGTTACACAAGTGTATGGGAAGAACTATACATGTTGCTCTTCTGTATCGATTAAATCGATGCCGACAAAGAACTCAAAACAAATAGGATTCTTTATCAAATGTAAAAATCATACTTAAAACAACGGGCATGAGACAAAGAGTAGCCCTGGATCCGTGTCGTTGTTAGAGTGAGTGTTCATTTATATTCGGTCATTGGCTGCCCATTCAAAATTATCACCGGTATCTTGCTATAGCAAAATGAGGTGAATGCACATGCCTATACCAGCAATATTATAACTTTGATTTGATCCCCTTGCATGATATTTTAATCAAATTGCGCCAAATTTGAAGTGTAATTGAGATTATCATGAATAAATCTAAGTTCTGACAGTTATTAGTTTGAGTTCGTGTTATTAGTTTGTCCACAGTCCCTCTATCCCCGGTCTGGAAAAGCTTCACAGTCTATTGTCCCAGGGCTGGTTGTGGGTAAATAAACCATTCACACCTTGGACAATTAGCCACGAAGCTGAGCATACACTAACTTTAGCACTGCGATCACAAACTTCAAACAGAACAGAACATATTACCGTGATTTGTCAAAATACAAACATCTGAGAAAAAAACTAACCACATCACCAAAAGGTTAATGTACAAATCTATTCACATTGAAAAAAAATATTATGGTTGAACTAAGTTCTATAAAAGGGGCCAACCCACTTACTCGCGTTGAGTAAGTTAGTGATCAAAAACAAAATGGCGCCCATAAATAAATTCTCATCGGGTGAAAAAAAGAGTCTGCCTACTCAATTTCTGGCAGTGCTAAAAAACTGATACTGCAGGATGTTATTCTTAGAGACATAATGTCACCAGCATTGTAAACTACATCCTAAATATATGCTTGGAAACAAAAATAATGACACAAAAATTCGAATGGCAATGAATCGGCGACAGGCTTCTTTATTTTGAATTGTGTTGAGCTTCTAAATCTATGTAAAGTATCAAAATATGTTTTTTTTTCGGTTGTAAAAACAAGAACATGAAGGGAACAATGAATCGATCGTTTCAATAGAATGCTCTGATATCAAGAGACTATGCTTCACGGAAAGCCATACCCAGTGCAGTCCGAGCACAGCAGGTAATTCATACCTTAGACAATAGCTGTTTCCAGACCAGGGAGGGAGGGACTGTGGTTTGTCAATTTACTGTGCATTCACCTCATTTTGAAATAGCAAGATCCTCGGCGGTGATGTGAGTGGGCAGCTGATGGCAAGAGTTCCTTGAGACCCCTCACCCTAATAACACTGCCCCTCCAGTACCCCTCCTCCATTTTAATTGTATATACCCATCGGTGGGTGGCTGGAGTGTTAGGGTTCAGGTTGGGGGTGAGGGGACCTAAGTGACCTTCAGCAACATCCAGTTATACAGCTCTGGTTTGCTAGGTTGCATGGCATGGAATCTTTGAACGTAATTACCGTTAGAACCGCACCGTAACGCAAAGCAACGCACCAATTGCAGCCCACACAGATATAATGCTAAGGTGAACCAGTTTTGCGGAGCGAGAATGCATACGATATGTAGTCATGAAAATTATGTCCGCTTACTTATTTTGTGCATTTTTCATAAATATCTTACATATGTTATTGTGTTCATTACTCACCCACGACCTTATATTACAGTACTACGACAAAATGGTCTGATATTACAACCATTCCATCTACAAATTGCCGTTCATATCGACACCGGGTTAGATCTTCACTCGGTGCATCGCCGCCATTGTTCCAAACGCGCGCCCCCAACGTCATATTTGATGAAAATACACCTCTCCTATTACACAGGAAATACAATTTACGAGTGGGAAAAATTTTTGACCTAGAAATAAAAGTTATATCTGCTGATATACCTTGAAATTATTGAGCTAAAACAAATCAAATGCATAATTAAGATGACCGACTGTCACGAGGGAGTAATAAATGCAATCAAAAAAACGATTTCCGAATTCGAATTGAGCATGCGTTGTAGAGACTGCGCACTACTGAGTATATGGAGAACCCTGGGAGAAGCGTAATATTACGACATTCGAAAGCCAACTGTTTAGTCAAAACCCAAGCAGTTAGCCAATTCGCTAGCGAGTTTGCCAATTTTCTGCCCCACTACTTCTGAGACTTGCTGTAAAAATACAATATGGACGAAAACATTTATTTTTGATATTTTGTGTTAAATATATATTGTAGACCAGATCAGAATATGATTTATCATGAAGTAAAACTGTTATGATTTATCATGAAGTAAAACTGGACAATCAATACGCATGTGCAGTGATTGTTATCAAAACAACCCGTGCACATGCCTATTATGTGTACTGATTTTTTAATCGCATGAATACTTAGATATGTGCTACAAGAATAGCGTTTTCAAGTCGTGATAAATCATAGTCCATTGTATTACCGTATCAAACAACAATTTAAAAATAACATGTTCTCGTCCATATTGCATTTTCAACTTGTACCGTAACTGGAACATTAAAGCGGGAGGTGTGTCATCTGCGCACGCGCGGAAATTGAGTCCCAAGCGACGATCACAACGCACGCTAAAAACGCAAAGACTCATGGGTAGACGTTTGTTTGTAAACATCGACACGCTATGGCCACCTGCCACATGCGCTTTAAGGTCTGTTAACACTACGTTTATTTAGATTGGAAATCATGGCAAGTCACTTATCGAAAACTAAAACCACTGGCGGATCCAGAAATTCGGTAAGGGGCGCGCTCCTATTGACGTGGCCGAACGTCCGCGCACCTCCGGTGGGCAGGTTTGTCTTTTTTTTCGCGCGCGCCTCCCCCTAAATCTGCGCGTGAACCGCGTCATATGAACTTAAGTCGTTGTCAATATGGGATTCAGCAGGCCGTTGAATTGACCAACCAGGGGTCGTTAATCAGATAAGTTGTCTCATGGAAGCAGATGACCTTCTTATTTTCTCTGAAATAAAATCTGACCTCCAAAACAGTTTGAACAATCTCTCAGTAAACACAGATAAAATAATGAACTGGTTACTAATCTATTACATTATCGTTTTTGAAGAAACACCAGTCAGTTTCCAGCGCTGACAACGTGGACTCACTCACTCTATGAGGGTAAAGAATTAAAAACATTTGTATAGCCAGCCACTTTAATTATTTGGGAATTACTTTAAGCATCAATGGTAAATTGAACATTCTTTAAAAAGAAAAGAGCAAAACGCTATGTTCTCAGTGTAAGAAAAAGTTGGCGATCAATGTAATCTACATTTAAAAACAAAGTTGTCTCTGTTTAACACCCTAATTAGATGAATACTAATATAGGATAGTGATATTTGGGGAGACGAGAGCTTACAAATCTGAAAATGTTCATCTACACTTTTTACGATTCGTCCCAGGCGTGAGGAAAACACTTCCATAACGGGAACATATGGAGAATTGACTCGATTTTCAATAGATGTTTTTATCAAAAAAACAATGATTAAATACTATTATAACCGAATAATGAACACACCAAACGAACTTGTGAAGAAAGCAGCGTTATTAAATAGTCACCTATACAGTAAAAAGTATTGCGTAATAAATTTACATCGAGACAAGAATATTGAAACGCAATAGACCATTTTCCGTACACTGCGAGAATCACGCGTTATGCGTGAAATCGAACGTAAAAACAGGACAAACAAAGGTCATAGCGTCGTAGTGGCGTCAAACATCGCGTGGGATTCGATAAACGCGAAAATATTTTGGGGGCATTTCCATGATGATAGACAATTTCGATTAAGTGAGGGTATTCGAAAGCAATATTCCTCTGTCGAAGATCGGCCTGACGATGTGAGCTACGAAATAAAGAAATTCGAGTTGAAAATCAAATCGTTCGATTTTTGCGGCAGACGTTCGACGCGCGTCTTCCATGCATCTCGCGAGATCTCGCAGTTGAACGGAAAATCACCTATTGTACTTTATTGTACAATGCATTCATATGGCAAAATGTCAAATTCCAAATGTTGAAAACTATGCAGTTTTCAAAACACCAATATTTTGCTTTTGTATTCATTACAACAAAACAAACATTTACACTTTTGAAATTAATGCCTGCCACTCGTTTATTTGATTTATATTACAACTTGAACAATAGACTTATAAGAAGTGACTGAAAAATAATGATCTAATGAATTATGATATATTGAACGCAAATTGTTTAACCCGAAAATGAATTTTGAAAATTTGCTTCCAATTCAAGAAAATGTTTGCAATGGATAATTATTTAACAATGCTAACAAATACTGATCTATGAGAGTCAATCTCTTGGTTTCGTTTAAGTAACCACGGCCCCGGGGAGGCATAAAAAAACGAAATTACGAATAGAAAAAAGAATCTGTTGTAATCGTTGCTCAATGAATGGAATAGAAGACGAATACTATTTTATAACAATTTGCCCTTTGTACGACGATCAAAGATATAAATGATATGAGGGAGCCGGAAAGCAAATAAATGATTTCACAATTTTGACAGAAGAAAACAAATTTATAATGATAATGGGAAATAAAAACATTGTAATGAATATTGCATCGGCCAAATAAAAAAAAAATGATTATGACACAGCAACACCGCTTAGCATATCCACAATCTTTTCAAACACTGCACACACAAAAATAAGACCGCAACACCCAATGGTATAATGATAGATGTATTGTAATGTATTTATGTATGTTAATGGACAGTTAATTTAGTAATTTGTAAATGTAATTTTGTAACTTGTAAGCACTTTTATCGTTTACTGTTAATCACTTTTTGTTGTCTTGTAGTTTTAGTGATCTTACTTATGTCCAGTACATTCCAAAGTCAGTGTTATGTTGTGTCAATAAAAATATAAATCATCATTTCCAGTCGTACGACTCAATGTGATACTCGCTAAGCTAGCTAAAATCGATACAAACATCATTCAATTAAAACAATCTAGATGAATTCATTGTCGCCTTTTATGATTATTTTGTAATAAAACGTGTACGTACAATCGCTTTATTGAACGTCACTCACGTCCAGAAACTGAACATCGTCAAAGTACTAGTACCCAGATGTAATCTATTTGCACGGGAGCTCAACCATAATAGGTCAATCAGGATACATATTAATACATAATCTCTTTGATAATATTGATATTACGCGTTATACGCGATCTTTCTATCCAAATGCCAATGTACGTTTTCGTAAGTTTTCAAATTGCACTGTCGAAGTTTCTTTGTTTCATACGTTTTGCAACATGTGCTGTTCCCATTTACAGTAGAATTTCATTTTAAAATGCATAAATAATATAAGCGTTGCATATAAAAAAAAATGGAAGGGACTGTAGTGCTAGAGGTATGTGTGTATATAACATTCCAAATGTTGATTCTCAGGTGCAACATGATGTACACATTCCATGTACGATTGTATAAAAGCAAGAACGTGGTTGTAAAATTACTGTAGTTTTCAACTCGGATACGTATTTGTTTTTTTTTTAAATATCACGTGTTTTATAGAAATACGATGTATTTTTACAATTAATTGTTTTGTTGTCTTTGTTTACTATGTGTCCCCGGTGTGGGAAATTGTATTTTTATATTTACTCTTATCTGGAAATAAGTTAAATAATAATAATTATCTTATTCTGTTAGTTGGGCTTGGTTGGTATTGTCAAAATATGATTGTATCCCTTTATATCGCGATGTGGCGAGACGACCGCCGTCTTTTAACAAACATTGGTTTCTGTTCCAGATATAATATTTATAGTACGTTTAACATTTTTAAGGCTGCCAGGAAAAATAGACATGTAGAACCACCAATTGTATATCAGAAGGGAGTGGACACATAAAAGATGCAATTGTATAGTTACAATTAGTTCGTTGAATCCTAAAAGTATTTGACGTCCATTTTTTTCTGATTTTGCAGAAATACCAACCACATACATATGATGCGTAATAACACTTTAATATAAAAGAAATTATCGTATGAAAGAAGTATGCAATGATTTAATGACACAATTTTGACACAGAAATGTCCTTGTGGTCGACTACATGGATGTTAAAAGAAGTTTTTATATTACGAATCTCAGTTGTATGAATTTCTGCCGATTTTCCAAAACAATGTAGACAGATGTTTTCTCATGAATATTATCTACAATGATTAGACGAGGTAACAAATTTTTGATTGGCTGCAATTTACTTTTATATATAAGCTCATACTATTTATAACACTCATATTAGTAGATATTGGAATAAACAAATGGATTTCACAGCCGTTTCTCATGACCATCACTGTTCGTTCTCTAAAATTACTTACCTGGATGTGAACGATATTCATCTAATTAATTAGGGTTGAAAGTGA